ATCTGTAAGCCATAATCATCGAAATTCCAAGAAATAAAGGCTTGACATCTATGTGTAATGAATCTATATAATATATGAATTTCACTTTCTGAAAGGAATGAATGTTAAGAAATATTGAACTTTTTCATGATATTCTAATTTTTTGAGATGTACCTGTAGAATAAGGCAAAAAATAAGTGTTTTACAAGAAATGTGCAATGATGAGGAAAGCATGTACACAAATAAATAAAGAAATAAATAAATAGTTGGATGTGATGTGCAAACAGCTTGGGTTTGGGCAGATGAGTTCTATAAGTTAATGGAGCTTGTGCAGTGGGTGGTTGGAAAATGAGACAGTTTCTTATGGGTCCTTATTTAGAAGGGCAATGACCTGGGGGCCGAAGCTTTTAAGGTGACGGTTTGTCCTTGAGCTCAGGGCTCTTATTCTCTGCTTATGCTGGGTTGGAAGACACTGGAAAAGGGAGTTAGCAGGATGCAGGGAGTCAGACATTTTCTGACTCTGTTCCTCATCATAAATATATCGCTATCGCACCTTTAAATATTTGATGAAATGGACTGACCAAATAAATAAAATCCTCTTCAAATTTACCCTTAACCAAATTGGGTGCCATATGTTAACCAGTCGTGGTAATCTGAATTTGTAAAACGTATTTATGCTGAATCTTAAAATAAGTTTTTGGTAAGGATGTCCTGAGTAAGTGAAACTAAACATTCGGAATGTGGCACATTAAATTTCAATGGTAATAGTTTAATGCAATTAATCCTGCTTCATGTGAAATACTCATATAGAAAATTGTTACATCTATTGTGCATAAAAACATCACCAAATGAACCTCTTTAAAATCATCCATGTAAAAAGTCAGTCCTATCTTTGAGAAAGCGGGCAGCTGTAGTCCAAGTCTTTCATATGATAATTAACAAATTGAGAATGTGCCGCAGTTATAAGATTGATTCACAGATACAATCAGGCGGCCTGTGGGACTGTCCAAACTTGAATTTTAGGCAAAGTATAAATTACTGGTCTCACCAGATGTTTCTGGAACAGAGTTATACTCGTTCTAGTCAATGACTGCATCACATCCTGCTATCTTTAATCTGGACTTTATCGTGTTACTAAATTTAAGAGTAGGATCAAAAGGGAGGAGCTTGTATATGCAGCATCGTCCTTAAGCTGACTGTGGATTTCACTGAGGTAGGCTGACTTATCCTGGGTCACAGTGGACCCCCCCTTACCGACAGCCTTTATATCTACCCCTGGCTTCTAGTCAAACAAGGAAGCAAAGCGCAAAAAAGCTACAAATAGCATCACCTGGATCAGGTGACGTTAGCATGGACGCCTCTTCGCAGGGATCTCAGGTCATGCATTGGATCCTCACAGCTGATCCTCTCTGATACCAGCCACCGATTCTTCATGCTCTGTAGAAAGAAAGTTGAAAATTGGTAGGCCTGGGGAGGGAGGCATATTGCGTCTGTCGTGTCTTAGGCCTTAAGAAGATATTGTTTTGAATACTGTGTGTCCTCGTCTCACGGCAGCCTGCATGCCGTCAGTGTCTCAGGACCTGAGACCTTGGAGAGACGGACAGCAGGCAGGGTGGGG